AAATTGGTATTATTGGATTAGGCCTGAAGCTTTAACTGATTGAATAATACAAAATAATTTACCAATAATATATATATGATCCTTTCCACATAAACTTTCTCTATAAATCAAATTTATTTATATATAAATTCATTCACATAATATTACTTTTGAATAAGGAAGATTCACCGTATTATCTCAAATGTTCTCCATTCTATCTATTTTTACTCTAATTTTCTTGTTTTAATCTTCTCCCCCCTATCCTACTAACATGCGTATAGTTTGATTAGGAATTGTATGATGATCAAAATTGTTTTATCAAATTAATCAAAAAATTTCGATAGGAAATTTGGAAGAAACTGTTTTGAAGGTTCTATATCATCCATATTCTCTAAATTGACCCCATTGATCATAGTGTAAGTATAACATATCATATAAACTCTCTATAAAGTTAATTCAAAAGGTTAAAGTGACGACAATGTCATTAGTGATATTTGAATTGATTATGTAGATAAATCACTCCTATAAATAATGTGAACTCGCCTCTCCATTTAATAAAAAATACGAAGAATTTGATAATTTTGTAACTTACACATACTCCATTATGTAAATCCATTTTTATTGAAAAGTTGGTCTTTTTATGAAAATTTCACTTGAATGAATTAAGTTCATATACTGTAGTTTAAGTATAATATATTCCAAACTTATGAAATTAGAATCCAACTGTCATGTTTAATTTCTGAAATGAAGAATTAGTTGACAATAGTAAAAAGTTGGTCACCTAATTGCAATCCCGTGATTGATGAGTGGGTCTGAATTCTGAACACCGTGGTTGATGAGTGAGAACTGGAAGTAACGAGGCTAGACCGCCAGTGCCCCCTGGAAGTAATGGGCCCCCTTCCCGCGATTAAAAAGTTGAATATTCTTTCATTAATTCCAAGATGATGATATCATTATCACAAAAAGAGCAATCAAACACCACAGGTTAGTTGAATCCAGCGTATACAAACAATCAGCGGTGGAAGAGTCATCTCCGAAAAAACAGGAAATTTGGAGCAAACTTTGGAAGGTCTGAGTAAACTTTCATTAAATCCAAGATGATGATTATATCATCAGAAAAAGAGCCAGTCAAGACCTTAAAAGTGAAGGCCCCACAGTTTAGTTGAATCCAGCATGTGAAAAGTGAAAACACATCAACGGTGGAAGAGTCGTATCGTAAAAAGTCAAACACAAAGGCGAGAAAATGAGGAAAAAGCAGGCGTGGAACCCGAGATGACCAAGTTGCATTTTCAGTGAGGACAATACTACGCATTCTGATTATATTGTTGACATTAATCTGTCAAAACATTCTGCAAGAAATTTGAACGAAAATCTGTACCACCATTCTTTATAACTTGACCTCATCGGCCATATTTGGAGTATAACTAACTCAGATAAATTTCTCTCTAAAAAGTAAGTTAAAAAGTTGAAGTGACACCATTTCATATAGTGATGTTTTAATTGATTGTGTAAGCAAATCACTGTAAAATAATGCCAACTCATTTCTCTATTACGTAAAAAATATGAATTTGTAACTTATTGAATAATTTCAAATTAAAAATAACTTCTAAATATCAAAATGTGTCATGTGAATGATAGCAAATGTTTTCTTTAGATTTATTGGATTTAAGCATTGGATATTTGTGACTAGTCTGTAAGAAATTTTTATTGTGTAGACAAATCACTGATTAAAAAATGTAATATGAAAAAGTTAATAATTTTGTAACAGACACATATTTATTATTTTGAAAAAGTTGTTTGAATTTGAAAATTGTTATAATATTATTTTTAATATTTTATATTTGTTAATTTATAAAAACCTTCTACAGTAAAAATTTTAAAATTAACAAAAATATTCCTACTCTCATTAAATGTCGACAATCGGCCATGATTGCCAAGAAATAAGGACGAGTGAAGATATTTTCAGCAATTCATAAACTTTATTGTTAAGGGTATTTAATCAAATTAATAAACCTAAATATTTTAAATTAAATAAATAAGACTAAATTTTAAGAGCAGTGAAAACAAACATAAATTTTCTCAATTATAAATAATGTTAAATGAAGTAATGTTTTAATTGTTAGGTTTAGGATTATAAAAATCAGAGAAGGAATCGTGTTCTTACTTAGCCTTCCACTTTAAAATTAGAACGGTGGTGATGAACCCACCTGGCATGTTCGTCCGTTCACAATGCACCAGAAAAAAAAAAAAAAAAATCCTTATAATTATTTTTTTGGCCATTTGAATTTATAATTTTTAAGGTACAAATAAGTTGTATTTAATTATTTTGAGTCTTGTCTCCAATACAGCATACAATTAATTATTAATTAAATTATATGGAATTTCATTCATTAATCCCAAGATGATGATGCATCATTCATCACAAAAATAGCTAATGGAGACCTTAAAAGTGATGCCCCACAGTTTAGTTGAATCCAGCGTGTGAAAACAAGTCAACGGTGGAGGAGTCATTAGTCATAACTTAATTAATAATTATATGGGTCAGTGAATGATTAATGCCACGTGTCTCTTGCCCGATCTATTCATACGTGTTCAATTCCAATGGTTTCATACAGTAACAAACAAGCTTGGAAGTTGCAGATGCGACGTGTCGTAAATTTCCTTTGGTCAAAGTTATGGTGTAATGCGTGTGGAAGCGTATGGTCCAATAATTAATTCAATAAAGAAAAAGATATGCAGATGCGCTTATCATTATTTCATACAACAACTCTGCTTCACTACTTCACAAACACAAAATCCTGCAATTTCTTTTCTTTCAAAGATATGGCAGAAACAATCGTCTCTGTATTGCTGAGGAACTCTTGGGTAAGCTATTCTCCCTTGCTTCCAATAAAATGCGCTTGGCATGGGGTGTCCAAAAAGATGCACAGGAGCTTGTTGAACCTTAACCATTATCAAAGCTGTCCTTAGATGCTGAGGACAAACAGATTCATAATGAGAAGCTCAAAGTTTGGCTGGGAAAGCTTAAGTATATCTGCTACGATGCCGAAGATGTTTAGACGAGATTGGGTGGAAGATTTGCGTGAACAGTGGTGAATAGTCAAAGTAGTACTAGAAAGGTACGCCGCTTTTTTTTATCTTCAAATTCAATTGCATTCCGTTTTACGTTGGGGCATAAAATCAAGAAGATCAAAAAGAGGTTAGCAAAAATAGCAGTTGATAAGGATAATTTTAATCTCACTGAGAAAGTTGATAGCAATCATGTTATTGGTTGGGAGAGGAGAGGAAACTCACTCATTTGTGCGTGCTTCAGATGTTTTGGTAGGGATAAAGATAAAGAGAAAGTATGAAATTACTATTACGTCCAAGGATGGCCATGAAAATGTTTCTGTCTTCCTATTGTTGGGATAGGAGGCCTAGGAAAAAAACAACTTGCCCAATTGGTGTATAATGATAAAATGGTAAAGAATATTTACATTGACAATGTGGGTATGTGCGTCAGATGAGTTTGTTTTAAAAAAACTACTAATTGACATCATCCAATCTGCAACTGGGCAAAAAACATTCACGAGAAATAGCAGTTGCAAAGATTCTACGTGAATCTTAGGCTATGAAAAATATGTTAGTTTTGGATGATGTTTGGAATGAAGATTAGGGTTGTGGGGGAATTAAGAAATTTATTGATAGAATGTGTAGTGGAAGTAAAATTATTGTAACTACACGTAGTGATCGTGTTGCCTAATGGCCACTGTAACATACAAAGTTAGAAGGTCTTTTCTTGACGAGCTTGTTAGTGTTTGTTAAATATGCATTAAAGAAGGGCAAGAAAAAAACATCCCAACCTTAGGAAATTGGAATAGAAATTGTAAAAAAATGTGGAGGTGTTCCATGGCAGTAAGAGCGTTAGGAGGTCTACTTATTCCTCAACTTGGAACGAGACTGGAAAAATTTGAGGGATAATGAGATTTGGATGTTGGATCAAAATGAAAATAACATTTAAATGCTATAGAATAAGTTATAATCATCTGCCACCTCACTTGAAAACAGTTTTGCTTATTCTTCCATTTTTCCAAAAGACCATTCTTTTTATAGTGGATTTGGTTCAGTTTGGTTGACCCATGGGCTTTTCAATCCCACAGGAAAATCAAGATTGGAAACTATTGGTATGCATATATAAAAGAATATGTCGAGATCTTTTTTCCAAGATATTGTACAACTTTCTGAGATTTGTACTGTTTTAAAATTCATGATTTATGCATGATCTTGCCACATCATTGATGAGAAATGAGTGCTTAATAGTGAAATCCACTAACCAAATTTGTACAAAAAGACATCGACACTTAATTTCATTTGTTGATGCACCTATAATAGATGTTCCCACATTTACCTAACTGGGTCATTGAGAAGCATTACTTTTTTCCAATACGGGTGAAAGCACTGGCCAATCATTTTGGAAATAATCGTCTCAAGGTGCAAATTCTTGCGGATGTTACACTTACAATTTTCAACTAAGTAGAGTAGTGCCTAAAAAGATTGGTAATTTGAAGCATTTGAGATGTTCTTCATCTAGGATAACCCACAAACCCTAAAAAAGACTCCAAGTTCCATTTACAAGCTACAAATTTGCAATATCTATCACTATGGGTTGTGAGGAATTAAAGGCGTTAACAAGAGAGTAAAGTACTTAATTAGTCTTAGATGCTCTTGTTAACTACGATACAAAAGCATCTACACACTAATGGTATGGTTGCTTGAATTCTTTCGAAGTTGGGGATTTCAATTGCAATAATTTAGAATATTTGTTTGAAGATATTGGTCACCAAGAGTCCTTCAAAGTCTAAGGATTTCTAAATGTCCAAGACTTATATCATACCACGCGGTGTGAGAAGCCTAAGCTCTTAGAGATCTTTTTTGGTAAGTGTGAAAGGCTTAATCTTGATTTGAGCATGGGATCGGATAAGCAAGACAATCATGAGAAACTGTAGCGCATGGCTGCCAAACTAATAAGAGCAAGCAACAAGTAGAGCAGGATTCACAATGTTTTAATAAGCACCAATCGTTCCTGGGGATACATTGTTCCTGAATCCTCAATTCTCCAAATCAGTAACTCTTGAAGATCTTAATGATTGTAGCCATTTTTGTAGGAAAAAAGGATTTGCAACTTGATTGGCCTACCCAGTTCAATATATGCTTAGGAATTGTGAGAGATCTAGCATATCGTCACGAGGATTCAAGGCCAAAGAATATTATACATCGAGATGTCAAAGCAAATAATATTTTACTCGATGCAAAACTCTACCCCAAGATATCAGATTTTGGATTGGCAAAGCCATATGATAACACGTAAACTCACATCAGCATAAGAGTTGCAGGGACCACGTAAGCTCCTTCAATCATTTTTTGACTGTCGTTCTTCCTTAATACTTGTAATGTCTTGCAGAGTATTATATGATGTAAGCTATACGCGCTATCTTGGAAGTTATCAACAATACCTAGTAGATTTTGTTGTATAGTATTTCAAAAACTCAACATACATGTATTGATAAAAATGACTGAGAGCAATACATGTATGTTGAGAGAACTATTTGTGTTATCTTTGATTGTCACATAGTGATTGACGTAAAATCTTTGGAGGGCACTAGATTTGTGATTGTATTGTTTTGTTATTATTCAAGATTTGCTAAATGTTATAGGTTTTCACATTGCTATGGTGAGTGGGCACATGGGATACGGTTGATCATTAAATTCAGTTTGATGGCAATATCGAGACTTGACTTTTGGATGTCAACCATGAGAAACACTTAATTATCTTGCAGTGGTTATCTGGCACCGGAGTATGCAGTGCGTAAGTATTGTTGTTGCTTTGGAGATTATCAGTGGAAGAGCAAACTCTAATACTAGCTTGGATAATGAAAAGATTTATCTTTTTGAATGGGTTAGGAAATAAATTTGAATTTTGTTTTGTTTTGTTTGCTTTCTTTTATGATCCATAGTCAAGAAAAATACATTTCTTTTGAATTGTCTATATGCTATTTCCAGGCTTGGAGTCTTCATGAAAGTAACAAAAGTTTGGGGTTGATAGATCCCAAATTAACAGAGTTCAATGAAATCAAAGTCGTTTGAGTAACAGCAGTTGCTCTCTTATGCACTCAAGCATCACAAGACAACAATGTCACGCATTCTTAGCATGCTCGCTGGAGACGTA